TGATGTGTGTATGGATTGGGATAACAGTTGTATGAGCCCCTAATAAAATGTTAAAAAAGAAAAAAAAAAAAAAGATGTGATCTAAGAATTCCTCGAGCCAGCTTCTAAATAATCAACCATCCATCGGTGAAAAGATCCACTGGGACTTCTCCAACCAGTAAGAACCTGGACGGAGAAGGCTCCCCCACTCCAGCATGTGTTCTGATGCAGCTGAACGCTGGCCACCCTGGGGAGGACCTCACAGACCCAGCGCTACTTCTTCCCAGCTGACGGGACACGCTCTCACACAACAGAGCAGCCATGCTTTCCGTCTCTCTGCAAGACAACTGCATGTGTCCCACTTGCCCTGGGGTGTGAGTGGGGGGCAGGGGGGCCTTACTTGGAGCAGTCTTCATGCGCAATGTTCCCGGTGGTCTCCTTGATGGTGGGCTCTGAGACAAACGCGGGGTACTGCGAGTTGCAAGGTTCCAGGGTGTGCTTCAACTTCTGGGCTGCAGGGATATGGGAGTCAGGGGAGAAAGGGATCAAGAAATCAGCGTGCGCGCTCCAGATTGTGAGCCCCGCCCAGAGCAGCTGAGAATGGAGTTTGGCTCCCCAGGCTCTGGGTTTGGTTCTAAGCCCCGCGGGATCCCATGGAATGTTCTCACTGGCAGTTGCAGAAGTCTGTCAGCCTGACTCACCTACAACCTGTGCTTAGAACCCCCACAAGTCAATTCTATTAAAAATCTGAGGCACCCAAAGTGCTTCATAACCACAAACAGGTGTTGTGTGACTTTGTTGCAGGCATCACCACATTTCATGATTATTGTTACTGTAGTATTTGCCCAAAGGAGTCTTAGCATGTCTTTCTTTGGTGTTTTCTATGCATAGAAAGGTACACTGCAGATCATGATAGACGCTTGACTGATGTTAGATATGAGCCATTCCTAATGCTCTGCCTTTGGATCTAAAAACAGATTTAGGGGAAAAAAGCTCATTTGTAATCTGGGGAAGGCCTGCAGTCAAGTCATTTTGCCTGCCAAGCTGCGCTATAACCTCTAATTCCTCACGCAGTTGTCTTGGCATTATCAACTATCATTGATGCATCAGGAGAATTCTACTTTCTGGGAAATCATCAGTCACCAGGACTCTGACCTCAGCCTCGCTAGAGCTTAGCCACAATGCAGATGTATAGCTGAATAAATATGTGAAATATGAGCTAGACCACATTATTTAGGGTGGGACAGAAGTCACGATACAATTGCATGGTTTTATTATAGAAGGAAAATAGTAAAATATGTAATGCCTTTAACCACAGCCATGGACCGAATCTTACTATTATGAAGCTCTTTGTCCAATAGTGTATACACCTTGTCAGTTTTCACACAGTCAATAGCCTGGGGCGTGCTGGCCCAGGAGCTCAAACACTGTGCTGCTAACTACAAGGTTAGTGGTTCAAACCCACAGCTGTGCTGCAGGAGGAAGATGTGGAGGCAGGCGGTATGCTTCCATGATGATCACAGACAGCCTCAGTGCCCCATGGGGAGGTTCCTGCCTGTCCCACAGGGCTGTGGGGTTGGACTCCCCTGGGTGACTTGCTTTATGCTGTAGTTTGGTGGAGGAACACATAGTAAGTAGGTGATGGGCAAAATCTTTGTGATGAAATGATTGAAATAAATTATACCCAGGAGGCAAGTAACAAAACAATTTGTTTTGATTAGTTTTAAACTGGGGATAATGAAAATCCACCTATCAGAGGTTATGGAGCCCTGGTGGGGTCATGGGTGAAGCTCTGTCTGGGCTGGTGACCAAGAAGGCGGGGAATTCAAAGCAGAAGCAGTTCTTTCCCCAGGAGAAAGAAGAGGCTGGCTGCCTCCATGATGATTTACTGTCTCAAACTAAAGACAGTGCGGTCCAGTGTAACTCAGTACAACACAGTACAGGACAGTACAGACGTCGGGTCTTGAGGACCCCAAGGAACAGCTCCATTCTGCCGGCTTCGGTCACTATGAGCTGGAAACCAGTTCTGTATGGTGGCTTTGGCGAGGGTGGTGGTGCACATGAGCGACATGAAGCCGGGCATGCCACGGTCATTAGTACTGGGCGCAGGCATCATGAGTGCCGAGTGCACCTCAGCTAGGAAGCACAAGCAACACCCGGAGCGCCCTGCTGACGTCACTAACATTAAAGTGGCGACGGTACTGCGCACGGGGAGACAGGACAGCATGGCGGTCAGCAGGAAGGTTCTGACGTGGGGAAGTTGACTGTACAAATGCCTGATCTGCTGCTCTCAGTTCATCCCCAGATTCTCCCCTGGCAAGCGGCAAGGCTGATAGCACCGTAGAATGCATAGACATCAACCTTCGAGGGCTCAGGGAGCTGAAATGGCATTTTGAATGACAACATCACATGGCTTACTAGGCTGGGAATGCAAGAGCCCAGAGGAAAGGAATTGCATTCACCATCAAAAAGGATATTGCAAGATCTATCTCGAAGTACAGTGCTGTCTGTGTAGGATAATAATATCTATCCCCATGCAAGGAAACGCCGTCAATACAACTGTTACTCACACACGTATGCACCAACTACTAAAAGCAGCAATGCAAAAAGTGAAGTCTACCAGCATCTTCAGTCTGAAATTTATCCAGCACACAATCAGGATGCGTGGATCAGTACTGCTGATTGGAACGCGAATGTTAGAAACAAAGAGGAAGGGACAGTAGTTGGAAAATATGGCCTTGGTGATACACGTGAAGCTTGAGGTGATGACAGGATTTTGCAGGACCAATGACTTGCTCCTAGAAGATATACTTTTAATACATGAGGACGTCTGCAGAGGGAACAGAGAAATGTCCCATGGACTATGTCTGGGGGAAGAGGCGACGGGGAAGCTCTGTATCAGCAGCCAACTAAGGCGGCCAGGCCCGACGGTGGGGCAGTGGAAGGTCAGGCTGAAGGAAAACAAGCCCGCAGATCCAACTACGCTCTTGAGTCTCTGCCACCTGGATTTGAGAACACTCCAGAACAGACGCAATGCCCTGAACACTAATGAGAGAAGACCTGAGGTCTGAGGAGCGGTGGGACATCATGATCATCGGACCTCAATAAGTCAAAGGTCACTGCAAAGACAGTCAAGATCGAAGCACAAGCGGAGCAAAGGCAGGGTTTGCCAGGATTTCCTCTCACTTGTATCCACAACCCATGCACAAGGAAGCAGCAGTGCAGAGATCACAAGATGCACTGCATTGCACCCATCTTCTGTGCGACACCAACATCTGTGCCCCGAGGATCGCAAACTGTACAATCCAGAGCCCGAGAGGGACTAGGATCAGAGCTCCCATGGCGAGATGCTGGTTTGCAGAAGGCTACGGATGACAGTGGAGGCCTGAGATCCATTTGTGAGATCTACACAGGGAATAAGCCTCCCATAATAGAGGGACAGGAATAAACTGGGTACCAAGCAGAGTGTTGAGGGATGACTATGGCAGATTAAAATGTCAATCCTGACTTGAAGGGTTAAAGCCTTGTCATTTGACCTCCCCTCTGAGGCAACTGGGCTTGCTTGGGCTTTCAATATTTTCTGTCTTTTTTTTCATATTGGGGTTTATTTCTGATGTATTTTTTCATGTGGGTAGCCTTTTTGAATATTTTTAAAGCATTTTTCTGTTTTTTTGTATCTCAGCTGCACCTGACCCGAACAGTGGCATTTTCAATCGCCCTGCAAACATCCGAAATTCAGACATTGAATAAGGAAACCAAAAAATAACTGATGTACGTCCTTGAATCATGGTGCTGGGAGGGACTACTGAAAGGACACCGAGCCTTGCCTGGTGTCCTTGAGGGAGACACATGAACTTTCAGATCAAGCTCTGGCCGGTCACCTCGCGTCTACACTGCGTGGCTTCCCACAAAGCCCTTCCTCGGTCTGGAGCGCCATGGGAAACACGAGGTTGGTGCCGGCCGTGCAGGTGCATCGATGGGACTTGATGCCAACAATGAAGGCAGCCAGCAAGGTGTGGGCACTGCTTAAACTCACGGCCATGCCAGATTCAATGCCTGCTCTTGGCGAGTACAGATGCAGGGGGAGCATGGGGTTTGGCTGGGCTGATTCCTGTTTCACCCTGGAGTGGAAATGGGGGCTGCGACAGCAGACATACTCCTCCTGGGCCCGCTCAGAAGGTCCCTGTCCTGACCACCATGTCCATTTGCTCAGGAAGCACAGCCAGGGGACCTCAGGTTGGTTCTGAGTCCGGGAACCAGACGCTCCATCAGGTTTGCAGTGGCTGTTTTGAGGCCTGTGTGTGAGTCTCCAACATTTGGGCCAGCATCCTGATGCGCCCAGGCTGTGCCCCCCATGGTCTCACTCCAGGAAGCACCTACTGTGGACCCAGTGCCTTTCGTGGTCAGAGTCGTCAGCATCACGCACAGAGCAAGGCCTCGCCTGGACCCCCACGCTACGGACTGAGACACCAAGGCTCAGAGAACTGAAGACACTGCCCCTGAGTTGCTTTGCACTCTGAGTGGCAGTACCTCCATGGGCCCGAGCGTCCCAGCCCAGAACCTTCCTCACCACTGTCAGGCCACCTGACCTGACCTCAGACAGCTGTTTGGGAGGCCTGGAGCTGAGAGCCCTCAGGAGTGTCCACACAACGGCATTTCTTTCACTTTCCGAGGGCGGAAGCACTGTCGTCAGGCCAAGCAGACACTTGAGAGGATCGCGCTCCTAGCTGAACAACCGCCCTCCTTCCGTCTCCGCGATGGCATCCCCTTTCACAGGCAGGGGCCAGCCAGCTCCTCTCTCCGTGCAGCTTCCCCCAAATGATACCTTTGGGATCCTCAAGCAGAAATACGCTCCCACAGAGCCCGCATTAAGGAAATTAACCTGATAAACAGTGTAATTATGGATTGCTTTTCTAGCTAAAGCAAAACTCGTGTCTCAGCTAAGGGGCTCTATCTAGCCAGGGCATGGTCCACTTAGAAGGAACCTGGCCAGTCAATGCCCTTACATTGGATCAGATGGCCCGCTTCTTGCACTCTGCTCTTCAGAGGGCAACAGCCCACTGGGGGAGCCGACTCGTTCGGCGTAGCATCTGAGGCGTGGCTGTTCACCATCAGGGGGAAAGGTAAGATCCACACTCAGCAGAGTGCTACAGACCCGACGGGCCAGTAAGTATGGATCAGTCAGCCAGCTCAACTCAGGAACTCCAGGGAGGGCAGGCAGTGTGCCCACCTGCACCCAGGCAGCCGAGGGGACAGGTCTTGGCTGAGCGCTGATGGCAGGTTCTACCTGTAGGCACACTTCTGTGTGCTCCGGGGATCTGAAGAGAGCCCATGACAAGGGGGGTTGGGGGGCCTCCTTGATGGGCACCATGAATGTGTGCTGCAGTCACCTGACAGGGCCTTTCCACAGTCTGTGGGAAGAAGGTCCCTCAGTGTGGGGGTGCAGTGAGCTGTAAAAGCCCCAAAGAAAAGCCTCTGAAGACAGAAAGCAGGGAGACCAAAGGCCACAGGG